GCCGCTCGCCGCGCGCCTCGCGCTGCTTGCCACTCGTCGCCAGCCACTCGCGCCCAGCCGCCAGCTCGTCGCTCACCGCTCGCTGCCGCCTGCGCACTGTCCCGCGGCTCCCCGCTCGCCGCCCGCCGCACGCCCCGCGCTGCTTGCCGCTCTTCGCCAGCCGCTCGCACGCCACTCGCCGCTCGCGCCCAGCCGTCAGCTCGTCGCTTGCTGCTCGCTGCCGCCTGCGCGCTGTCCCGTGGCTCCCCGCTCGCCACCCGCCGCTCGCCGCTCATCGCACGCCCCGCGCTACTTGCCGCTCGTCACCAGCCGCTCGCTATTCGCGACCAGCCCCACAACCGCAGCTGCTCCTCTCCTCCGCAGCAGCCACCGCCGTCACTGTCACCAGCCGCCGCCGCTGCGTCACCAACCGCCGCTGCTCCTCTCCTCGGCAGCTGTCGCGGCCGCCTGTCTCACCCGCAGCCGCTGCTGCCCCTCTGCCAATGGTCGCTGTCGCTCCTGCCAGCAGCCGCCGCCGCAGCTGCACCTCTGCCATGCCACCACCCCCGCTGCAATCCTCCCCTGCAGCCGCCGCTGCCGCTCTGTCGCCAGCCGCCGCCGCTGCCCTTCTCTTAGGCAGCCGTCGCCGCTGCTCCACTGAGCCGCTGCTCCCCTTTTGAGCCGCGCGGGTCCACCCATCTTCGCTCCCTCCTCGTGCTGCCGTGAGCACGCTCGCCGCCGCCGCGTCTGTGAGCCGCGCGGGTCCACCCGCTGTCACTCCATTCCGTGCCGCCACGAGCCTTCCCACCGCTACCGCCTCCCCGAGCCGCGCGGGTCCACCCGCAGTCGCTCTTCCCTGTGCCGCCGCGCGCTTCCTGCTCGCCGCCGCCGCCTCCGTGAGCCGCGCGGGTCCACTCGCTGTGGCTCCTTGCCGTGCCGCCGCGAGTTCCCTCGTTGCAACCGTCTTCTGGCGCCGCGCGGGTCCACCCGTCGTCGCTCACTCTTAGTGCCGCCACGAGCACGCTTGCCGCCGCTGCTTCCGTGAGCCGCGCGGGTCCACCCATTGTCGCTCCGCGCGCTGCCGCCGCGAAGTCCCTCGTCGCAACCGTCCTCTCGAGCCGCGCGGGTCCACCCGCAGTCGCTCCTCTCTGTGCCGCCGCGTGCGTCCTGCTCGCCGCTGCGCCGCCGCCCACCTTCATGGTGTCCTTCCCTCCGCCCGTCGACGCCTCATCCGTGGACAAGCTCCTGCTGGCCGCAAACAAGTCCGCCACCAATTGGTACTCCTTCGTTGGGAGTATCTGGCGAGTCCTCGGCGGTGCGTGGGTCCAGCCGTACAAGCTGCTCGACATCCTCGAGCGTAAGGCTTCGGCCCTTCGCCCCACCACGCCCGTCGATCCCAGTCCCGAACCCGATGTCCCTCGCGAACCTGGAGTTCTGCCAGAGCGACCCGAGGTCCCTCCTGTGCAGCCGCACGACCCTGAGGCCGAGCGTGTCGACCAAGAGGCCTACGACAGCGCCAGTCAGAAGTTCCTGCAGCGGCGCGCCGACTACAATTTAGAGAAGCAGGCATTCGACCTCGCCTCCGAACGTGCCGCGGATCATCGCTGTGAGAGTACGACCCCGTTCACCACTTGGCCTTTTCTTATTTCCTTCCTTTTTCATTTCTCTTTTATTCCATCTCCTTTGGTTTCCTATTCTTCCTTTTCCATTAACCTTTGGTTTATCCTGCTATTATAATTATATCACCGACCAGGCTTGGGATGTACTGGTGTGCTCTATCTAGCGTAATCCTGCTGTAATCTCTTAAAGCCAATAGCCTCGCGTGGCTATACGCAGGGTGATTCTATATTCTAGAAGGGTCTATTCCCTTAGGATAAGATAAACCTGGTTACCTGATGTACTCTGGAAGTATAAAAGCACCTTGTACTGATCGATAGTGCAACCTTTCCTCGACACATTCGATCCTGTGACACTTGGTAATCAGAGCTTTTCTCACTCGGCCGCGCTCAACAAAGCAGCAGCAGCGGGAAAACCTGCCTCGAAAAACCGCCGGGGGCGACCCATTCGACGCCGATTCTGGTAAGCACCAGCTCCGCGATTTTCGAATTACCCCCTCCGTGCGTGTTTTGAACAGGATGGCAACCTTCGACAACACCGAGGTTACCCAGCAGCTCTTCGCGCGCATCGCAGCCCTTCAGGAGGAAATGCGAGCGGATCGCGAAGCGTGGCGAAACGAGTTCGAGCGAGTAACTCGACTCGCCGGAGCGCAGCACGAGACGACAACGGCGACGACGCAGCAGTCGCAGCAGTTTCTCGAGGCTCTGAAACCGCGCCCACCTGAGCCGATCGATCCGAGCGATCGAAACTCCGACGCCCGCAGATGGATCGCCGGAATGGAGATCTACTTCACAGCCGTCGGATGGAGCTCGCCAGTCTGGGACGGTCAACGCGTACGACTCGCGGCGACACTGATGCGAGGGCCGGCACTCGAGTGGATTGGCGGCAACAGTACCTTCATCCACGGTGAAGCCACGTGGCAGCAGTTCCGCGCTGACCTGCTGAAACGCTTCGAGCCGATAAATTCCAGTTTCCTTGCCCGGTAAAAAATTCATCGACACCGACAGTTCGGGAGTGTAGCGCAGTACACGCAGCAGATGGAGGAATTTTATAACCGCATTCCCGACCTGACCGAAGGGGAAAAAGTACAATCGTACCTCGCCGGGCTGAAGACCGAAGTCAAACGACAAGTCGCTGCGTCAAACTACGCGAGCTACAGTGACGTCGTTTCAGCAGCGGAGCGCTTCGACATGGTCAACGCCGGAACACGACGGACGCACGTCGGCCGTACGCGACAGGGCGACCGCTCGGCTCACCCCACGTTCGCCGACCCGATGGAAGTCGACAGATTCGAGGGGCGGCCACGTCCGAAAAACACCAATTACACGTGTGATTTTTGCGGGGTGCCAGGTCATCGAATCTTCGACTGCAGCAAAATGAAAGCCGCACGCGCAGAGTATCGGGCACGCAACAGTGGCAGAATTCCTTCAGCCAATCAGAAGCCAAAAAACGGGAGTCGCCAGTAATTGCGGATGTAGCTGGCGAAAATATGAAGATCCGAAAGCGGCCGCGGGATTCCAGGAAAATCAACTTCGACGAAGCTGATTCGACGCGAGGAGGAAATGATGGGGGAAAATCTCCACCCCACAACCAGTCTTCGCCAGGGAAAATCGCCGAGGAAAAATACGACTCTGCGAAAAAAGACTCTGCCGAGACAGGGAAACTCCTTGAAGACCCAAGAAATTATAAGAATTCGTTAAAGTTATCTTATAAAGATGCTTTAATGAAAACTTATGATCTTCGAGGAGCCAGAGCCTTGGAGAAATTTCGGGAAGGACTCCAAAAGAAGCAGACAGCTGTGGAGATTATACCGGTACCGGACAACTTGGGGAAAAAATTAAAGAGTGTGGAAAGAAGCCGACTTTTCCACGGAGTCAACATCCTCTCCCGACACCAGCCCACAACGACTACCCGTTCCCCACGGAAGACGTCGGTGGAGCTGAAGCAGCTCAAGAGGAAGCTGGGGGTCTATAAGAAGCTGCATTAACCCCAAAAACCTCCTACGGATGCATCCAGTTCTTCGGCATCAGTGACGCGCACCCTCGTCAGGGAAACTCCGGGCCCTGGAGAAGAGCCGTTCTCCAAGCAGCCTCGGCCAGCTGCCAGCTCAGGAGTAGATAGCAACACAAAGGTGTGTACGGAGAATTGGGATGTACCCTATGACCCAATCAATGAAACTATCTTTGGGTACTCCGAGCAACGACTGCCCCTCGTGCTCGAGGTCATCTGCAAAGGACGACGCCTCCAAGCACTCGTGGACAGCGGAGTATCACACACCGTCTGCGACAAGGCAGTGATCGACCGACTTCGGGAAGAGTACAAGCCTTCAGGATTCTCTGCAACGATGGTGGACGGCAGCAAGTTACCAGTACACGGTGAAGCAGTGCTACACCTACAAATTGGACCACTGCGCTGGAGACCTGCACTCCCCATCACCAACATCAAAGGGCTTGACTTGATCTTCGGGCGAGACTTCCTAAAAAGATTCAACCCCGAGATCAACTGGGTGAACCGCGCCGCAAGCATCTACAACAATGGACGGAGAGTACAGCTACCCAACTGGGACGATACAGGAGATATCCCAGTGGAGACACTCGCACGATTCGAGAATGACATAAAGCGAACCGACACAGGGTTCCTGGCAATAGCAACAGAGGCGGAGAACGACAGGGAGAGAACCTCGGAACCTCCAGGAAAGATCAAGGAATTATTAAAGGAGTTCCAAGATATTCTTCCGGACGATCTTCCAAATGAGCTACCGCCATACCGAACGCATCAACACGAGTTCGTGGAGGAACCGGGTTCGAAGCCGACCTTCCGAGCACCATATCGGCTCAGCCCTACGGAGCTGACCGACATGAAAAAACAAATCGAGTATCTCCTAGCCAAAGGACTCATCCGACCATCCACTTCGCCGTACGGTGCCCCAGTACTCTTCACACCGAAACCGGACGGAAGCCTGCGTATGTGCATCGACTACCGAGCTCTTAACAAGCAGACCATCAAGAATAAATATCCAATACCGCGAATCGATGACCTGCTTGTTCAGCTTCGGGGAGCTACGGTATTTTCCAAACTGGATCTGCGGTCTGGATACTGGCAAATACGCATGGCGGACAACTCCATCCACAAAACTGCTTTCCGAACTCGGTATGGATCGTACGAGTATTTGGTAATGCCGTTCGGACTCACCAACGCACCGGCAACGTTCCAAGCCGAAATGAACCACATTCTACGACCACTTTTGGACGAGTGCGTGGTGGTGTACCTGGACGACATACTCATCTACTCGCGCGACATGAAGCAGCACGTCGAACACCTGCGACGCGTCTTCGAAATTCTTCGACGAGAACGATTCTACGTCAAACTGTCCAAGAGCGAATTCGCCCTTGACAATGTCCAGTTCCTGAGACACATGGTGAGCGCTCAAGGAGTTCACGTCGACCCCAAGAAAATCGAGGCCGTACGCACGTGGAAGACACCCGAGAACGTGAAGGAGTTGCAGCAGTTCCTAGGCTTCGCTAATTACTACAACAGGTTCGTGCCACAGTATGCGAAAATCGCAGCACCACTCACGAATCTGCCGAAGAAGAACACGCCCTACAAATGGGAGCCGAAGCACCAGGAAGCCGTGGAGCAGCTGAAGCAAGCACTTACGTCCGCACCGGTACTCATTTTGCCAGATCCCGAACGCGACTACGTCATCGAAGCTGACGCCAGTGACCAAGCAGTGGGAGCAGTCTTGATGCAAGATCAAGGGAATGGACTGCAACCAATCGCTTACCTAAGTAAGAAACTGCACGGGGCAGAACTAAACTACCCGATACACGACAAAGAGGCCCTGGCTATCATCATCGCCTTCAAAGCGTGGAGATGCTATCTCGAAGGACGAAGAACAACCGTCTACACTGACCACTGCAGCCTGAAATACTTGAAGACACAACCAACCCTTTCCAGGCGGCAGGTCCGGTGGATCGACTTCCTCGAGATACACTTCCACTACGACATCGTGTACAAGCCCGGTCACAAGAACAAAGCAGACGCTCTCAGCCGGCCTGCACACGTTGCTGCTATTCAGGTCGAAAGGATGAATCCACTACTCAAGGGACTCTTCACACACGGGTACGCCACCGACCCCGAAATTCCCTTGGCAGAAAAGCGACATCTGCTACAGTGGGACAGTGACATCGCGTACCGGAAAGGATCAACAAAAATCTGGGTACCCAATTACCCTCCTTTGCGCCAATTACTACTCGAAGAATACCACGACGTCCTCTACGCCGGACACTTCGGTAGCAACAAGACGCTGACCGGTATCGCAAAGCACTACTACTGGCCCCACTTAGCAGAAGATGTCCAGAAATTCGTCACCTCGTGTGATACATGTCAGCGGATGAAGAGCAGCAAACAGAAAAAGGCGGGACTACTGCAGCCTCTTCCTGTCCCAGAACAACCATGGCAAGTGGTTAGCTTGGACTTCATCACCGGGTTACCACCTACCTCCAGCGGTCATGACGCCATCCTTGTCGTCATTGACAAATTCTCCAAAATAGGACACTTCATCCCGACACACACGACGGCACGCACCGAAGAAAGAGCACAACTATTCGTTCGATACATCATCTCACAGCATGGCATTCCAACCACACTCATCTCCGACCGCGACCCTAAGTTCACCAGCAAGTTCTGGAAGGAACTTATGTCTCTCTTTTGGACCAAACTTGCCATGTCATCTGCTTACCATCCGCAGACAGACGGACAGACCGAGCGCCTCAACCAAATTGTTGAGCAACTCCTCCGAGTCGCCTGCAAGGACGAGATCTCCAAATGGGACTTGCACCTGCCCGTACTAGAGTTTGCTTACAACAATGCAACGCATGCCGACACTGGACAGACGCCGTTCTTCCTCTGCTACGGACGCCACCCACTGACACCACAGAAACCGACAGCATCAGCTACAGTCCAACCAGCACATGATTTCATCACAACCATGCATCAGCTTTGGGATCGGACCCACAAGCGCCTGCTCGACATTCAACAGCAACAGAAGCGCCAAGCCGATCGCCATCGCAACGATCACACCATCACGGTGGGAGACCAGGTGCTTCTTGACACCCGCAACCTGGACATCAGCCATCTCCCATCTAAACTTCGACCTCGCATCTGCGGGCCTTTTCTCGTTGAAGCACAGGTCACTCCTGTTACCTTCCGCTTACGCCTGCCAGCTACCTGGAAGATTCACAACGCCTTCCATGTCCAACTTCTGAGGCCCTATCGGGACCCGAACACAATTTTCGTCGGACGCCAACCGCCGCCGCCACCGCCCGTCTTCGTCCAGAATGAACCCGAGTACGAGGTCGAGTCCGTGCTCGCACACCGCCGTCGTCGGAATGGCACCGTGGAGCTTCTCATCCGTTGGAAGGGTTATGATCCTTCTGAGGACAGCTGGGTACCTGAGTCCGACATGGGTAACGCCCGTCGTCCTCTGCATGACTACCTTGTCAAGCAGGGTGTTCCTTCTACCACCCAGTTTTGAGGGGGGGAAGTGTGAGAGTACAACCCCATTACACCACTTGGCCTTTTCTTATTTCCTTCCTTTTTCATTTCTCTTTTATTCCATCTCCTTTGGTTTCCTATTCTTCCTTTTCCATTAACCTTTGATTTATCCTGCTATTATAATTATATCACCAACCAGGCTTGGGATGTACTGGTGCGCTCTATCTAGCGTAATCCTGCTGTAATCCCTTAAAGCCAATAGCCTCGCGTGGCTATACGCAGGGTGATTCTATATTCTAGAAGGGTCTATTCCCTTAGGATAAGATAAACCTGGTTACGTGATGTACTCTGGAAGTATAAAAGCGCCTTGTACTGATCGATAGTGCAACCTTTCCTCGACACATTCGATCCTGTGACAATCGCCTGCAAGCCGTCCGCTATGCATAGCAGAAGGCGACCTATGCTGTCGCCATCGCTGCATTGTGTGAGTCTGACGTGCGTGCCTCCACCATCGTTCCGGCACTCTCTCCATCGACATGATGCGGCGCTTCCAAGCTCGAGAGTTCCTTGCCGCTTAGCTGTGGACTGAGCTCGCCTGGGCATCGCGGCATCGGTTCGCTTGGCATGTTGTTTCGCGAGTACAACAGCATCACACTTGACAGCAGCAATGGCGCTGTCGGTTTCACCAGCCGCTCGTTTTGAGGCTCGTCTGTCGTCCTGCCTCGTGAGCTCCACATCCACAACCTCCTCCACGGCCTCACCCCTCAGTACGACATGCGCGTCATCGCGTTCGCTGAGAGCTACCCCTATGCCGACCTCCCCACTGTCGTGCCATGGATCATCGACACTGAGGACAAGCTCCTCCAGGAGCCCACCGCCACTCTCCACGTTGCCCAGCCTGCCTCCGCCAAACTCAACGCCGTCCCCAGCCGCTCCCATGGTGGCCACCCTCGTGGTGGCCGTGGAGGTGGCCGTGGTGCCGGCAATGGCAGTGGGGAAAGCAGTGGGACTGGCCAAAGCAGCACTGCCGCTGGAGTGGCACTTGGCGGCCGTGGAGGCCGCCCTGGCACACTCCCTCCTTGCCAGTACCTTCGTCGCCACGGGCCCAAGGCTGGTGAACGCTGCTTCAAGGCACTCGATGATGCGTGGTTTGATCGCGTCAACACGGGCACCCCGCCGCGCTGGTCAAACATCACCCCTCGCCCCTCCCTCGCTGTTGTGAAGGCCCTACCTTCCTTCTTGCCAGCACACCTCCAGCTTGCCGCCTCCTCCATCCCTTCTCCCTCGTCGCAGAAGCTGTTCCAGTTCCAACAGTTCCAGCAGCAGCAGCAGCCGTGGGGCGCCGGCAGCCAGGCGGCCGCAGTAGCAGTAGGTGCCGCCGCCGCCACTGCTGCCTGGCAGCAGCAGCAGCTCGGTCTCGGCTCCGACACCATGGCCACCTACGCCTCCACCGGCCCCCTTGGCTACCCCCTCGGGATATCCGTTCCCCCCGCTCCCCCAAGTGGCCTTGACACTCCCACTTCCGAGACTAGTTTCCTGGGTCATCTCACCAATGCATCTTCTGCTCTGTCCTCAATGTATCCCTCTGCTTTTAATGCGACCGATTTTCAGTATCCCGTGTCACTCACCTCATCCACCTCTTCCCTCTCGTCTCCCACTGTGGACTTTGTCCTTGACAGCGGCGCCACTGAGACGACCCTCAAAGACGCTGGCTCTCTGAACTCCCTCCCCGTCCCCACTAGTGTCTATGGCGTCGATTCGAGTTTCTCCATCCCTTGCACCCACAATTCCACGCTCCCTTGTCCTCCCTTCTCCTCTTGCACTATAACTACTGCACTGTAACCATACCCTCTCTTCCTACTGCGCCACGCACGGCATCCAGCAGACCCACACTCTCCCCCATTCCCCTCAGCAGAATGCTGTTGCCAAGAGTCGCATTCGCGAAATCACAAGACAGCTCGCTCCCTCCTTACCCATGCCTCTCCCCCACCCTCCCTCTGGGGCTATGCCCTCATCCATGACGCTCTCCTTACCAACCTTTACCCCCATCCCCAGCGCACCTCCTCCACTCCCACAGAGTTATGGGCCTCCTGCAAGCCCGATGCGGCAGTCCTCGGCGTCTGGGGATGCAAGGTGTTTGTCCTCATCCCTCCCGCTGACCGCTCGCGCTCGGCTGCCAAACTTGCCTCCAAGGTCCTGGAGTGCATTTATCTGGGGCACGCTCGCGACTCCCCCGGCTACCTCTTCCTCCACCCTCCCTTAGACTGTTTCCTCAAAAGTCGCGACGTCGCGTTCGATGAGAGTGTCCCATACTACACCTCCCCTCCCTCTGCTGATCCCCTCCCCGCTCCTTCCTGTTGCTTCGCCTGCTGATGCCGTTCCCCCCCTGCTCCTCCCCCAAGCTCCCCTCTTCCCTCCTCCCCCTCCCCCACCTCCACCTCCGCCCCCTCCTCCACCCCCTCCATCCTCCGGCGACATCTACGATCCTGTTTCTCCCGCTTCCCCCGCCCACTCTGTCGCCGATCCTCCCTCCTCCCAGCCGCTGCAACAGCCGTTGTCGCAGCAGCAGAACCAGCCGTACCAGCAGCAGCAGCAGCAGGATCCGCAGGACCAGCAGCAGCAGCAGCAGCAGCAGCAGCAGCAGCAGCAGCAGCAGCAGCAGCAGCAGCAGCAGCAGCAACAGCAGCAGCAGCCGCAGAAACAGCAGCCGGGGGACCAGCAGCAACAGCAGGACCAGCAGCCGTAGCAGCAGCAGCACCAGCAGTAGCAGCCGCAGCCGCGCCAGCAGCACCTGCTTCCTCCACCACTTGGTGGAGGCCGGGTCTCTGTTTCTTCTCCCTCTGTGCGCCGCCCCACATCCTCTCCTTCCTCCTCCCGCGTGCTCACACGCGCTCCATGGACCCTATCCTTGGCCTTCCCTTCAATCCCCCCGCTCTCCCACAGGAGGACTCCCACGCGGAGTTCATCGCCATTCAGCAGCATGCTCCACGCCTCCTCCCGCTCTACACGGGCTTCCTTGGCTTCCTGCTGCTCGGCGTGTCCTCCTCCCCCTCCATCTACGTCCTCACCGACTTTTGGGAAGCCATCATTGGCCCTGATCGTGACAAGTGGATTCCCGCTGTCTTCTGCGAGGTCGAGGCGTTCATTTGCAACAACTCGTTCGTTGACGTGATTTCTCCTCCCGGCACTAACATCGTGGAAGGGAAATGGGTCTTCCGGGTGAAGCAGTTGCCTGGCGAGGAGCCATTCTTCGAGGCCCGCTACTGCGCCAAGGGATTCACCCAGACTTGGAGCGTCGACTATTGGGACACCTTCTCCCCCACAGCCAAACTCCCCACTATCCGGGCCCTCCTCGACTTTGCAGCTCGCATGTCCATGGTCATCTGCTGCATGGACGTCTCCCATGCGTTCCTGCAAGGTGAACTGCACGAGAAAATCCTCATGCGGCGACCCCCGGGATTTCATGCTGCCTTCCCGCCCAACACCATCTGGGAGCTTCGCCGCCCTGTGTACGGCTTGAAGCAGGCACCTCCCTAGTGGCATGTCAAATTGGCTGCCACCCTTCAAGCCATGGGCTTCCGTGCCGCCCACTCCGATGCCAGTCTCTTCCTCCGTGCCGCCCCCAACCGCTTCTTCATCCTCGTGTACTGTATGTCTATGACAAGATCCTCATAGCCGATGAGGAAGCTGGCATGGTGAAGGTCAAGGCCGAGCTTTAGACATGCCTTCTGTGCAAGGAGCTAGGCGCGCTGAAGAACTACCTCGGCATGACCATCTCACGCAACGTGGAGGCCGGCACCACCACGTTGACACAGTCGTTCTACATCGACCAGGTCTTGGAGTGGTTCACCATGGCGCAGGCCAAGCCGGTGTCCACCCCCCTGCCCATTGGTCACCAGCTTGCGCCTTCCACCCCTCCCTCCGCCTCTGATCACCCCTATGCCGAGCTTGTCGGGTCCCTCATGTACGCCATGATGTGTACGCGCCCCGACCTCGCATACCCCATAAGTGTCCTCGCCCGGTTCGTTGGTACCGGCCGCCACACTCCCGCACACTGGGCCGCTGCCAAAAGAGTCCTCCGCTACCTCCCGGGCACCAAGGACTACGTCCTGACCCTTGGCGGCACCTCCCCTCGTCTCCTCACTGGCTTCAGTGACTCCTCTTGGGCCGATTCTCAACACGGCCGCTCCTCCCAAGGCTATGGTTTCACCCTGGGCAGTGGCCTCATCAGCTGGCATTCCACCCGCTCGTCTGCCATCGCCCTCTCCTCGTGCGAGGCCGAGCTCTATGCCTGCACGATGGCTGCTCTGGAATCGCGCTGGCTGTGCTATCTCCTCGCCGAGCTCGGCGCTGCCCAGCGCTGTCCCACCCTCTGGTGCGACAATGTCAGCATGATCCACCTCACCAAGGACCCGGTCTTCCATGGGCGGTCCAAGCACATCGAGATTGGTTATTTCTACATTCGCGAGCTCGTCCAGCAGAGCCACCTTGCCGTGCGCAAGATTGCCGCTGAAGCAAATTTGGCGGGCATTTTCACCAAGGCCTTGCCCAAAGCCGCACACAAGGCCCTCCTTCGTCTCCTTGGCCTTGGCCTTCCTAGCCCCTCCCGCGCTCCATGATTCAGGGGTTGTTTGTCTTCTCCATTCTAGTCCTCTGCATGTTAAGGAGTTGTGTTAGATTATATATATCTACTGTAACATGCTCGACTAGTATATTAGCTAGGTGTACACCAACCTGTGGTGTACACATCAAAGTGCAGGGGTGTTAATCCAACCCTGAAGTGGTTGGAGCCCCCGAGCACCAAGACCACAATATTGGGACCACGCAAGTGGCTCCCATGGTGGTTGGGTACTGTTCCTACCCAACTGCATGTGGCACTGTTCATCCTTCTCTTGCTAACTTCTTTTCCTTCCAGACGTTCCTATGTATGCTCCTGATTCTAATACTGAAACAGCTTCTTCAGTTCTTTCAGCTAGGACTCTGAGTCTGTGCAAGTGTGCTGCATGTTTATCATTCCTCACCCCATGAGCAGCTCTGGCTGGCAGCATATCATCCTCTCACTGCACCGAGTTCTCTCTAGAGGAAGTCCTCGCGGCCACGAGCAACTGGTCCGATGACAACCGGCTTGGCTCGGGTGCCTTTGGTGATGTGTACAAGGGTGTATCTCCAAGGGATGGCACCACGCTGTGGGCCGTCAAGCGAGCTAAACTGCTTCACGCTGCCTTTCAGCGAGAGGTGAGTTGACTCATCTGTGGCATGCTTTGACTAGGGCACACATGGTCATGAGGTAGTTCTCTGTCGTTCCTCTACCTCTTGCTTTTAGGTGCCGGATCTGCTGTCATTCTCCCTTGTGGACGTGAGCAACCGAGCTGAGCCTCTCGTATGTTTGTTTCAGCTCGATTTGAACTGAGCCGGTTTGCCGAGCCACATGCCTGCCGGGCTCGATTCGTGACCAACCCAAGCTGTGAAGAATAGCACGACTATGCTCACGTTGGACTGTGTTTCTCAACAAGTCGAAAGGCGGAACTGAACCGACTCACATCTGCGTGCTACTTGATCACACTGCTGCTAGCACACCCCCACCTAAATGGCTCCCCACCCGTCTGAAGCAATCTTGTTTCCGTTTACCTTCAGTAGTAAACTTCGTTCTCTCTGTAATAAGGGTTTTTTGCACTTGAGCGTGCGTGATGAGGGTTTAGGTTTTGCTCATCGAAACTACCATGTGTAGCCACATCACATCACATCACCGAACCGCATCGCATCGCCGCCTCACATGACCTCACATTGAGGTTTTTGCGTGGCACTGCTCCAAATCGAGAGAGTTGGTTGCGCTGATGTGGGTGAAGTTCATTGATGGGGTCCCCATAAGGCGCCATGCCTCACAAGCCCATGTTGGCTTGCGAGCCGGATAGCTTATGTCTCCGCCTCAACCCATTGACACAAGGCATGAGCCCGGGTATGGCTGTTTTGGCTCGATATGAGCAGGCTCGGCTCGGCTTGTGCTCATTTCTACTCCCTTCCACTCTAGCGATTCAAGAATACCTCTTATCCACGTTCTCTCAGTTCACCATAATATGACATCTCTCTCAATCTGTGTAACCATGACAATTTCCCTCTCCCAGGTCCAGCAGATGGCCAACAAGAATCATCCCCATATTGTACGACTTCTTGGGTTTGCTGTTGGAGGGGACATGAGGACACGGCCGGAGCAAGTCTTGATCTACGAGTTTGCTCCGAACGGTGACCTTGAGAAGTGGATTGATTCAGGTATGGCACAATGGTACAGGCATGGCCCACGTTTTCTTTGCTTTCTTCTATGACAAGCTAGAAGCTCACGTGTGTCACTCGTTTTTGGATCTTTGCAGAAGCAACCTTTCATCTCAGCATGAAGCAGCGGCTGGACATCCTCATTGGTGCTGCTCGCGGCTTTGAGTACCTCCACAGCTTTGGCCTCGTGCATCGCGACATCAAACCCGCCAACATCCTCCTCAGCACAGACATGCAGGCAAGCTTTTTGCGAGTTCTCAGCAATTTATCCAACTCTAGTCATAGCAGAACAAAGTAGAATTCAAGGCACATCACGACGATAGATGTGATGTTATATGTTGTGTTAAATAGGCACTGGAAGACAGATGGCTGCAAATCACAAGTGTAGCCTGTGTAGACAACTGCTGTAGGAGATCTATGATGCATATGAGGAAGACGCAATAGAGAGTTACTGCTCTTGAGTAAAGAATGAAATCCTTGTCTGTTCGTACTTCCAATCTGTACTATCCATCAGCCCAAGATTGCAGACTTCGGGCTTGTGAGGGAGGCAGAGGGAAGCACTGTAGGCACTACTCGAATCATGGGAACACCGGGCTATGTGGATCCCATCTACTTCCAGACGTCTAAGGCAACCAACGCCACTGATGTCTACAGGTGATTATTGCTTTCCTTTCTTTTTCTCAGGGGTTGGTTTTTTTTCCACGTAACCTATGTTTTATATCACGTGAAACACGTCAGCCTCACCATGCGATAACACCTCCCTTCATGAACGCCTTGGCCTTCGTGCAGCTTTGGTGTGCTCATGCTCGTGGTGCTCACTGGCCGGAGCCGCCCACTCCATACGAATGATGAAAGGGGCTACGATACGCACATCCTGTCATGGGTAGGTGCTGTGGTAGTTTCCAGACATATGTTTGGAAAAGAAGAGCTGACAATGAATGATAACGAGGTTGCTTACAAAAATGATGTCACTAATACGTGCTGCTGACCAGACTGGCATATATTATATCAATAATGTCTCCTCAGCGTGGCGAACGGCCAGCCTCCAAGTGTCTTTCAGTCGCCATGTCCACTTCGATTGCAACCTACAGCCTCTTCCCATCCCCACCTTCGTCAATCCTTCAGGTGGAGGCCTGCCTGGCGTCCAACAGCCCGACCCGCCTCAAGGACCTCGGCATGGAAGCCCCTGATGATGTTGTGTTGCGCTTGGCCCAGCTGGCTCTCACCTGCACTGCGGAGCGCACTGCGAGCCGCCCAAGCATGGCAGACATCGCTAAAGAGCTGTCTAGTGCCAGAAATGGGGTGGTGGGAAGAGAGGAGCTGAGTGCTGCAATTAAGGTGGACGAGCAAGCCCAAGAGATGATGAGTGCATCTTCTTTTGTTGAAAATATTAATGCTCAGCTGCACTCCTTTGATAGCACCTTGGATGGAAATTTCTCTGAAACGCTGGATGATGGGGTGTTTTGTTAGTGTACATATGTTTTGTATATATATATATATATTTTTTTTTTATATATATATACTATAGGCTAGCTAGGCTCAGACTGTGGTCGGGACAACCCCTGTAGTTGAATCCCGTTCTGTTTTTGCTCGCACACTTCTTTTGTCTTATGCTGACATGGTACCGGAGCTAGGTTAGACCCTAGCCTTCGCGCTTCCGCTCTAGGTAGTCCCCACTCACCTCCCGAACTAGCCCTAGCCCTAGTGCACTGTAGGCCTCGCTGGCTCCTAGCGCCTCGTAGGCTCTGTCGCCGCCCCACGCCCTAGTCTGCGCTCGCACTCCGACCCATCGCCAGATGCCTTGCTGCCTGCTGCTCGCCTTGCGCTGCTCCCTGCCCGCTGCTCGCCTTGCGCTGCTCCCTGCCCGCTACTCGCCGCGCACAGCTCGCTGCCCGCTGCTCGCCGCCCGCTGCTCGCTGTCCACCGCTGCCAGCTCACCGCTGGCTCGTTGCCTGCCCGCTCGCAGCCAGCGCCGCAGCCGCCAGCGCCACAGCCGCAGCCGCCAGCGCTGTTGCCGCCGTAGCCGCAGCCGCAGCCTCCAGCGCCGTAGCCGCAGCTGTATCCGTCAGCGCCATAGCCGCAGCCGCAGCCGCAGCTGTCGATGCCGTAGTTCGCTGCTAGTCGCCAGTGCCTGTCGCCTCGTTCACTATTTCCTAGCTGCTAGTCGTAGCCGTGCCCAACCGTAGCCGCAGCCCCAGCCGCCTGCTACCTCGTCAGCACCAGCCGCTGTCCGGATACGTGTGGCGTCTTGGTCTCCTGCCGGCATGGCAGCCCCGTCGGTGTCGGTGTTCGTCCCTCGGCTGGACTCCGAAGGCCACGCGGTCCGTTTCGAGGCCTGGCTTTCTGCCCTGCACAGACAGCTGACAAGCCAGGGTCAGGAGGGCGAATCGTTCGCGGCGCACATCACTAATGAGCTGCTCGCCCCCTCACGCCCCGCTCCCCTTGGCGCCGAGGTGACGTCAAAGCAGCGTGCAAAGTACGAGCATGCCAGGACCGCCCACTCCATCTTGGAGCCGTGCCATATGCCAAATTGATCACGCGATGGTGGAAACTGCACTTTGCATGCCCATCTGCTCCGCCCCACGAGCCATATGAGGATTGATGCTGGGGTCAGCTGAGTTGCCTATCTCCCCGTGCATGCAGCCCTGTGCACCCCTTATGGTGTTAATGTTTAAGGAAAAGTTTTTTCGGGCACCTTTCCAACCATGTAATTTTGGGAGCACGTGTCGAGAGAGGAGAATTGGTTGAGTTGGCAAGGAAAAACAGAAACCTATATCTAAATGTTTATACCCTATATACTGTAAACTGAACCCTAGGAAGGTTGTTATTCATATAATCCTAACACAAAAATATATATATATAGATCCACATGCCATTGACTACGTTCGCCCCAGGAGGGGGAACTTTGTCGACGTAAGTGCCATTGGTTCTGTAGAATGCCATCTCTGCCACGAATTGAGGATTTATGGAATGCGAGTGTCAAGAAATTGCGGGCCTGGTTGATAGAGAAGGAGAGAGTAAATGATGCAAAGGCGTCGCTCAAAGAGATGCTAGTACAGTACGTGTGCGAGACGATGGGTAAATTCCCATATGTCCCAATGGCGCAGGACGAGGCAAAATACATGTATCCTGAGTTACGCAAGGTGATGCGAGTTGGAGGGGACACCTCGTGTGTGGATGTCCCGCTTTCCTATGGTGGGGTTCCGAGTGGGAGCAATGAGGGCATAGTTTTGAGGAGGTTGCGGAGGGCATGAGGGGTGGGCCATCTTCTATGGCCACGATGCTCTTGGTGCAAGCTCACATGGGGGATGCGTAGTGCGATCACTTCATCGGTGGAGTGATGCCATGGCAGGAGATTCCAGCGCCCGCAGGTAAGGCACCCTTGCTGTGACGTAGGGAGTTTGGGTAATCCAATACTAACCGATGTCTCTCTGTATTGGCAAGTGTGATCCCTATCACAACGACTGCTGGCCACGACCCGTGTCGGCGTGCCCAGCCTGATGCAGGAACCACTGGGAGTGTGGCACTGGAGGTCGTCCTCGCGGGCTCCCTACCCCTATCGGCAAGCGCTCAAAGCGAAAAAGGGGATCTGTGTCGGGTTGCAGCGGCAGCGGGCAACAGCGGGCGGCAACGAGCAGCGAGCAGTTGCTGGCGGCGGCTGGCTGGCTGTGGCTGGCAAGTTAGCTTGCTGGCGATGGCTGGCTGGCTGGCTATCTTGCTCACGGCTGGCGGCTAGCTAGCTGGCTGGCGGCTGGCTAGCTGGTTGGCGGCCGGCTGGCGGCTGGCTAGCTGGCTGGCGGGTGGCTGGCTGGCTGGCCAGCTAGCTGGCAGCTGGCGGCTAGTTGGCTGACTGCTGGCTAGCTGGCTGGCGGCTGGCTAGCTAGCTGGCTAGCGGGCTGGCTGCGGCTGGCTGGCTGGCAGCGGCAGGCTGGCTGGCCAACTGGCTGGCGGCTGGCAGCTAGCTGGCTGACTGCTGGCTAGCTGGTTTGTGGTAGAGCGGCATCAGCTGGCGAGCAGCGGGCAGGTGGGCTATGAGTGGGCGACGAGCGAGCAGGCGGGTGTGACTGCGCGGGCAGCTGCACGAGTGGTGGCAGCTGCAAGCAACGAGCTGCTGCACTGACAGCTGGACAGTGAGCTGCGAGCGGGCAGCAGCGGGTTGCGAGTGGGGGCAGCGAGCTGCGAGTTGGTGGCGGCAGCGGACTGCGAAGGAGCAGCGGGCGGCTGCAGCGGCGAGCAGCGAGCAGCTGCGTAGTCTGCTGCAACTGCGCGGACAGGCGCAAGCAGCGGCAGCTGCGAGCAGCGAGCTGGGAGGAAGCGGTGGGTGCGAGCTGCAAGGGGCGGCAGTGGCGGGCTGCAGGCAGAACATCTAGCAACTAAGGGAGGGTGGGTGGCTAGGAGCGACCTAAGCTAGGGCGGCAGGGGAGTGAGGAGGAGCAGCTACGGGCAGAAGCGCGATAGCTAGGAACTATCTAGCTGGATACCATGTCGAGAGAGGAAAATTGGTTGAGTGGGCAAGGAATAAACGTATAAGTGTTTATACCCTATATAAACTCAACCCTAGCAATGCTATTGTTCATATATTCCTAACACAAATATCTATGAATGCTAACAGAATGAGGGCCGCAATTGTGCGATCCGAAGGGTGACAATGCGGTATGTCAATGCATGCTCAAAACAGCATAGTAGTCTGGCACGAATCACCTCTCCAACGCGTGCCCCATATTCTCATGGTTTATGAGACGTCGCACTGTCTTGCCAATCCCCATGAATGCTAGAGCAGAGGCACTGTCTCGGCAATGCTAGGAGAGCCTATGCCTGACGCAGCAGGGGATCCTAGACTACACATAGCAGTGGATCCTAGTCTACAAACAGCAGGATACAAAGAATGAGCGACACTGGAGTCATCAACATACACGGACTACAGTACAAGGCCTATTTGAATCATGCCAAGATCAAAGATCGGAATGCCACGACGGAGCAGAGGGGGCCAGTCCGGTACCTGCTGCTGGAGTCCAAACTAGCGACGGTACAGGTCATCCAGGTGGCGGGATGGCCCGTGCGCCCGCAGACCTGGCCGGCCGAGGGGGCGATCAGTAGCTGGTACGTACAGGTCACAGAGCCTCCAGGAGCCACGCGACCCCCAGGGCACCGATGGCCCTGAGGCCCAACCTCCCAGTCTTGCAGCTTTGCTACACTATGCGTTGGAGAGGTGATCTGTGCCAGACTACTATGATGTTTTGAGCATGCATGTTGCTCTAAAAGGGGCTTGACATACCACGGTGTGGAGGAGACAGTGGAGGTCAGGGGGAGCTGCAAGACGAGAAATCCCTCTAACAATACTCTTCCGTACCAGCCTAGAGAAGAAGCTGTGAGCAAGAAAGGTGAGACAGTATAAAAGGCAGGGATGGAGGCAACGGGCCTCTAGAGAGCAGGGCTAGTGATGAATGTGATGACATGTAACATTCGTTTTGTTGTTCCAAAAAGGGTGTCTTTTGTGGAACAGCCAAAAACTTTCAGGTGACGCTGGGACTCGACCCGTTCACGGGGAGGGGAGAGGGGGGGGAGGCTGCCCTAAAACGAACCTGAGGCCATGATTATAATCCTACCTGATCAAACATCAGTCTGTCAAACATGTGTATTTGTCATGTTTGTATAGACTGTATAGAGTCACCTCTTAGAGGATACAAAACTTAGATATATTTGTGTGTACTCTCACTTTACGATCATTCAATTCTAATTTCTGATATGGTATCACGCGTAGGTAGGATCACCCCCCACCTCCCGCTTCCGCTCATCCCCCCCCTGGCCCTGTAGCGCCCCCCCCTCCGGCCCCGTCGCGCCCCTCCCAGGCCCTCTAGCGCCCCTCCTGGGCCCTGTCGCGCTCCTCCCAGGCCCCGTAGCGCCCCGTCGCGCCCCTCCTGGGCCCCGTAGCGCCCCTCCTGGGCCTCGTCGCGCCCCTCCTGGGCTTCGTAGCGCCCCTCCTGGGCCCTGTAACGCCCTCCCAGGCCCCGTCGTGCCCCTCCCAGGCCCCGTCGCGCTCCTCCCAGGCCCCCTAGCGCCCCTCCTGGGCCCCGTCGCGCTCCTTCCAGGCCCCGTAGCGCCCCTCCTGAGCTCTGTCGCGCCCCTCCTGGGCTCCGTAGCGCCCCTCCTGGGCCCCGTCGCGCCCCTCCTGGGCCCCGTAGCGCCCCTCCTGGGCCCCG